ACTCTCACCGTTACCAGTGGTTATATGGTCAATGTCTGACGGTTTGTGACGAGAGATGACCAGTACCTATCACAGTTAGAAAGTCACATTACTCTCACCGTTACCGGTGGCTATATGGTCAATGCCTGACGGTTTGTGACGAGAGATGATCGGTACCTATCACAGTTACAGAGTCACGTTACTCTCACCGTTACCAGTGGTTATATGGTCAATGTCTGACAGTTTGTGACGAGAGATGACCAGTACCTATCACAGTTAGAGGATCACGTTACTCTCACCGTTACCAGTGGTTATATGGTCAATGTCTGACAGTTTGTGACGAGAGATGACCAGTTCCTATCACAGTTAGAGGGTCACGTTTCTCTCACCGTTACCAGTGGTTATATGGTCAATGTCTGACGGTCTGTGACGAGAGATGACCAGTACCTATCACAGTTAGAGAGTCACATTACTCTCACCGTTACCGGTGGCTATATGGTCAATGCCTGCCGTTTGTGACGAGAGATGATCGGTACCTATCACAGTTACAGAGTCACGTTAATCTCACCGTTACCAGTGGTTATATGGTCAATGTCTGACGGTCTGTGACGAGAGATGACCAGTACCTATCACAGTTAGAGTGTCTCGTTACTCTCACCGTTACCAGTGGCTATATGGTCAAGGCCTGACGGTTTGTGACGAGAGATGACCAGTACCTATCACAGTTAGAGTGTCTCGTTACTCTCACCGTTACCAGTGGTTATATGGTCAATGTCTGACGGTTTGTGACGAGAGATGACCAGTACCTATCACAGTTAAAGGGACACGTGACTCTCACCTTCACCAGTGGTTATATGGTCAATGTCTGACGGTTTGTGACGAGAGATGACCAGTACCTATCACAGTTAGAGGGACACGTGACTCTCGTCGTCACCAGTGGCTATATGGTCAATGTCTGACGGTTTGTGACGAGAGATGATCAGTACCTATCACAGTTAGAGGGTCACGTGACTCTCACCTTCACCAGTTGTTATATGGTCAATGTCTGGTTGTTTGTGACGAGAGATGACCAGTACCTATCACAGTTAGAGGGACACGTGACTCTCGCCGTCACCAGTGGTCTATACCGCTGATGTCTGTTAAATTCTCTCCATCAAATTACTCCCCAGATATAAATGTACAGTGGACAAACGTGACCGGCATACCATTAACTATCCGCCACGGGTGCTGATACCAGTTTTGTATGCAAATCGACGTCACCTACAGTTCTGTCTATAAATCTAGAATACAGTCATCGAGGGCCAAGTAGACCTCCGTATAAATTATTTCTAAGTCAAATTTCGACATCACCTCCTCCTCCTCCTCCTGTTCATTGAACCCGACTTACATCACTATTGGGGCGTATACGTAATGATATTGGATCACGAACGAAGTAATCGTATGGGTTTTGTTCTTTTCCCTTTCCGATATTTATAAAAAGTTGAGTTGCTGAGCTCTAATAGGTAGTAATGGAGAGGTTGTGGACCAGACAAAGAGTTCGACTTACATTGTATTTTAAAACAATCATCGAATTTTCTTGTTTTTTCAGTTGAGAATGATATCGGGATAACAACACAGACACACGATGACGAAGAAACTGATAATCCCGGGTACATTTGAGCTGAAGAACATTCTCCAGGAGAAGGGACCCCTGCCACACCCAAAGAAACCCCGGATCCGGAAGTGCGAGCTCATCCAAGATGTGTCCAAGTTCAAGGACGTCGACGAACATGCGGCTAAGGTAGGACAAGCTTGTGAACAAAAAACAAACGGAAAAGACGTTTTTATCTATACGAATGACATGTCAGGGTTATATATCACAATGTACTGTAACCATGGTGTTATCCGTTATCAGACAGGATGGTTGAAATTCCTTGTGGGATGCATTCCATCACATTCACATTCAAAGAAATCATAATTGTCTTTGTTTATCTGTCCTATAACATGCGTACACTTCAGATTTATAAATTGTAGTTAATGTAAGCAGTCGGTAGACAATTAGGTTTGTCTGCCTACGCGCCGTTGGATTTACTATAGATCGGGCACTTGTCGATATTTCTCAGAAAAAAACCTCCAGCATGCGTCAGTAAAATTCCAGCATGCCGAAGTAAAAAATATTAAGGAAATTGCTCAAAGTGTATGTAACTTAAATAAATTCAATAACATCTCATAAAAACGACAGTTGTAATATCGGCAAAGATTTTTACACAATTTGTTGATACGGAGTATGGAAGCTAAACAGCAGCATATGGTTCTTCAATGGTAAATACGCCGGCAGATTCAACATGTGTTTGATTCCTAGAAAGTCGCCGTCAGACGTTCTTGCTGATTTTGGAAAAATACTTATAACAAATAACTGCACAGGTCATCATGCTTTTGTTATGTAAATTGTTTTGCAGTAGAGCCCAATATAAAAAAAAAATTCTTGTCTTCCTATGAACGTGAGATTATGAACTAACACTAAACAATGTAATTACGCCGCTAAATTAGCTTTCTGTGACGGAACATTTGCGGCAATGTGTGGTGCTAGTGCTTTGTTCGTTATTTTTTTTTGTCAAAATGCTTTGACTCAACAGAGACATTATGTTCATAGGCTAGACCTCATTAAAACGAACTAAGTCACAGGGCTCAGTACAGACTCCCAAACATCAAACAGCTCGGCATATATATCTGGTTTACTAATAAGTAACGTTGAACCAGATTCGACTTGAACACAGCTAGTCTCGTTCAACCAGACGCTTGATCACTTGTATCGGCGTAGCTTGCGCAGGCAACAAGAGTGGTTGAACGAGACTAACGAAATAGCCTGCTAGTAGTCGTGAATGTTCACTTACCCTGAAACGTCAGTGTACGTAAGGTTACGGCCGCTACAGAGGACGCTTTTACTTCAGAACTGACTTAATGAAAGAAATCAAACGTTTGTGCTTGTGTTATTGGTACAACAATAATAGTTGTACACGCTGTGTGTACGGCAAGCAAGTATTCCGTACCCCACCGTTCAAATCAGCCCCATCTTTGATGTGAACGGAGATAACTGCGATTAGACGGAATACCACTCCGCCGTCTTGATCAAACGATAGCGCGCTCAATCTAATGATTAAAGACTTTGGGATAATAAAACATTCAATTCTTACGTAATTTAAAGACAGGTTTAGTGAGTCTGTGCACACAATGTTGTTTAATACTGACGTCATATTTACATTATTAACGGGAATGTGTTGTTTAACACTGACGTCATATTTACAGTATTAACAGGAATGTGTTGTTTAACACTGACGTCATATATACAGTATTAACAGGGAATGTGTTGTTTAACACTGACGTCATATTTACAGTATTAACAGGAATGTGTTGTTTAACACTGACGTCATATTTACAGTATTAACGGGAATGTGTTGTTTAACACTGACGTCATATTTACAGTATTAACAGAAACGTGTTGTTTAACACTGACGTCATATTTACAGTATTAACAGGGGTGTGTTGTTTATCGTTGACGTCATATTTATAGTATTAACAGGGATGTGTTGTTTATCGTTGACGTCATATTTACAGTATTAACAGGGATGTGTTGTTTATCGTTGACTTAACATGAGTGTGTTGTTTAACACCGACGTCAAAGATACAGTATTAACAGGAATGTGTTGTTGAAAGGGAATGTGTTGTTTATCCTTGACGTCATATTTACAGTATTAACAGGGATGTGTTGTTTATCCTTGACGTCATATTTACAGTATTAACAGGGATGTGTTGTTTATCGTTGACTCATATTTACAGTATTAACAGGGATGTGTTGTTTATCGTTGACTTAACAGGAATGTGTTGTTTAACACCGACGTCAAAGATACAGTATTAACGGGAATGTGTTGTTTAAAGGGAATGTGTTGTTTATCACTGACGACATAGGTATTGTATTATCGAGAGTTGTGGTGTGTATCGTTGGCGTCATATATACTGTATTAACTTCCTTCTGTAGGTCTAATTGAGGCAGGCGTTGCGGAAGGCTCTATTCTTGGCCCACTTTTATTTCTTATATTTATTAATGACATAGCAGATATTTTTGAATCAACGTCTCGTCTTTTTGCAGACGATACAGCATTACTTAAGTCATCTTCATCTTGTCTAGAAATTCAAGAAACTTTAAATAGAGACCTAGATATCTTAAATATTTGGTCAAAAACCTGGTTGGTTAATTTTAATCCTGAAAAAAAAGGTGTATTGTTTATTTCGAATTCAATCGATATCAAAGAAGATTTAGATTTAGAATTTGATGGGAAAGTCTTAAACTTTACAGATTATCATAAACATTTAGGGGTATCTTTTGATTCGAATGCAAAGTGGGGGGATCATGTAAATGCAATTTACACTTCTGTTATGAAAACAAATAATGTCTTACGGAAACTGAAACTCTTATTAAGTAGGGATGCTCTTTTAATTATTTACAAGACTTTCATTTTACCTGTTTTAGAATATGCTTGTGAGTTGTGGGACGGTTGCACTGTTTTTGAATCTGAAAAGTTAAAAAAAAGCCCAACGTGAAGCTGCTCGCATTATATTAGGACTTCCTTCATATACCCCTATTAATACTTTATATCACGAAACTAGTCTTGAAACTTTATCTAGTCGCAGAAAACGGAGGAAACTTCAACTATTGTATAAGATGCATATTAAATTAACTTCTGATTACTTCAATTATCTTTTGCCGCCTTTATCTGGAGAAAATAATCGTTACGCTTTACGTAACAATAATAACTATAGGATTCCTCCTTTCAGATTATCTCTTACTAACTCTTCTTTTCTACCTTCTACTCTTCATTACTGTAATAACTTAGAAAATTCGGTTCGATCCCTAACCCTCTATTGATCATTCAAATCCTGTTTAACGTAAAATATTCAGTCAAGTCCACCTATTTACTTTAAAATCGGAAATCGTAAACTTAATATTTTGCATACTAAGCTCCGACACCAGTGCAGTTCACTTAATTATGACCTTTTTAGTGTTAACCTTCTTGAGAGTGCATCTCGTAATTGTGGTCATCCTTGTGAGAATGTCTTTCACTATTTTATGGAATGTCAACCTTTTACAAACGAAAGACGTATTTTGGTTCAAAATTTGATTAATTTGAATGTTGCGTTAAATTTAGAATTCTTCTGTTTGGCAATTCACAATTTTCAATGGACCTTAACTCAAACATTTTTAGATCTGTGCAAAACTTTATCAAACCAGCAAGAGATTTTGAGTCCAAATTGTAATAACAATTGTATATATTTATTGTCATTATTGTAATATCATTTAACATGTATATTGGGAGAAGGCGTTGATAAGTTGTTATAACTTGTGCCTAATCCCTTGTCTAATTTTGGCAATCATTTTATATTTTATATTTTGATTTTGTTGTATACCTTACTTTTTATCACTCCTACCGATACTAAATGGTTCTATACTTTTAACTACTTCATGCAACAGCAGCAGGGTATGAACAGGGGGCATTAATGACTTGCAAAAAAACAACAACACACAATTGTAGCAATTTCTCTGTTTAATATATCAATAGGGCATTGCTTTCCTATTACTAATTACTTGATTGACTTTTTAATAAGAGCATTGTATAGCTAAAAATATCAATTAAATATTTATATGTAATTGAAACATACATGGAATTATCTCCCCTATACTATCTGCTATATATAGACTGGGGATCTATGCTACTTAATTATTATATATGATTTGCATCAATATTTTCTTACTAATCGTTTCATTCATCTTTGTCTTTGTTATGTCAACCTAAGGAGAGAACTTATATAGGCCTAGCCTGCTGTTCAATCCTATTGTTTAATCAATAAAATATGATGAAATGAAATAATTTTGGCAATAAATATGTTTAAACTAATTAACTGGGCCTTGTTTTGTATCTTCCGCTGATATAAAGTGATGTTTTTGATTCAAAAAGAAATTCAATCAGTTTTGCTAAACAAAACACCATTTAAAATCAAACCTGACCATCCGTATATATATATAGGTAACCTAATGCTAGAAAATGCTCGCCTGATATCGACCAGATTAAATGTTCTCTTCTGGTATCGACCGGAATAAAATCTGCTGAATCCATAAAATATTCGAGATAATATATATTTAGGACTAGATTTAAAAGAACACCGATTCTGCCATAAAACCACTACTTCGTTTGTACTTGATGTTGTAGCCTTTTTGACGTATCGCCATGACTTTTGTTTTTATTTTCTGTCTGATACTATGACTTTAATCCCGGTAGACGGATGATGAGGCGGCCACTGTATCTGTAACAAGGACGGGGTATCCGTGTGGATTATACGATAGACGGCGGGTCTTTAACAGCGGATCTGTGTAACATTTTATACCGCCTCGTGATGTAATAGTTTTTTATTCACCAGAATGTATCTATTGATAGAAGTATATGCTATTAAATTCTAGAGTGAAAGACATTGTTTGTTCCTAAACCGATGATTGATATACTTTAGTCATTCATTGACGTATTTCGTAGTTTAATAGGGTTAAGGCCGATGATTGAACTATTTCGTAGTTCACTTAGGTTTAATGGCCGAAGGTTGACCTATTACTAAGTTCACTTAGGTTTAATGGCCGAAGGTTGACTTATTACTTAGTTCACTTAGGTTTAATGGCCGAAGGTTGACTTATTACTGAATTCACTTAGGGTTAATGGCCGATGATTGACCTATTACTTAGTTCACTTAGGGTTGAGGCCGATGATTGACTTATTACTTAGTTCACTTAGGGTTAATGGCCGAAGATTGACCTATTTCAGTAGTTCACTTAGGGTTGAGGCCGATGATTGACCTATTACTTAGTTCACTTAGGGTTAATGGCCGATGATTGACCTATTACTTAGTTCACTTAGGGTTAAGGCCGATGATTGACCTATTTTAGTAGTTCACTTAGGGTTAATGGCCGATCATTGACCTATTTTAATAGTTCACTTAGGGTAAAGGCCGATGATTGACCTATTTTAGTGGTTCATTAAGGGCTAATGACCGATGATTGACCTATTTTAGTAGTTCATTTAGGGTTTATGGTCGATGATTGATCTTTTGAGTGGTTCACTAAGGGTCACTGGCCGATGATTGACCTATTTTAGTGGTTCATTAAGGGTTAAGGTCGATGATTAACTTATTTACTAGTTCACTTAGGGTCACTGGCCGATGATTGACCTATTTAACTGGGTCGAGGATTGATGTATTTTACTGGGTCGAGGATTGATGTATTTTAGCTTGACAAACTAACACTATTCCTGCTACATCTCATACTTTTATTTATGTTGTAGGTTGCCGGTTTGACCCATCGATTCTTCCGTGAATTGATTTGGCAGCTGACCCACAGCTGTCCGGCTGTCAAAACGGACCTTGACAAAGTTAGGTATGGTCACTTAATGATTTCTCTGACTACCAACACCTAATCAGATCAGGTACAGTCACAGATATGCTTGAACTAAATACACAATTAATAGATAAATATGAATGTGCATGAAACAGTTATTTCTTTGCTGAACATATACATAGAAAAACATGCAACACTGTGGTTTTATTTGGTGGCACTGTGACTTCCGTATGTGATAAGACCGGAAACACCTGGCCAACATTTCCGGTCATCCACATATCGCGGTTTATACAGATGATATATTGTCGTTTCCATAGGGATATCCCTTTACATTGGTTTGTTCTTCCTCTTGAAACCATTTCTGTTTTACACTGACACAGAAAAAAACTGCTAAACTGTAATGAATATCCGTATTTGGCACTGCGCGTGACATCGACTTCATCCGATATCAACGAAATGTATACTGAAAAAGAAATATACTACCGAGGTTAGCCTTATACTGAATACAATTCATTAGTTATGTAAAATACCGAACGAAGTCCAACTGTATTTTTAAAGGTTCTTTAACGTCAACGTCACAGCGATGTCACTTATTAATACCGGTATATTGTGGCATCGAAAAAACGGAATGGAACCTAAACATAAACGTCATTCTTTTTAATTTTGCTTATGTTTTCGGGCGCTCAGGAAATAAAAACGCTTCAACAATTTACATTTCATAAATGAATTGAAGTTGGGTTTTTTTAAAAAAATGAATAAAAACAGTGAGTAAACATGTTTGATATATGTTTTTGACCTTTCGAGAACTTATATATTTGTGACGACGTCATATATGGAAAATATTTACAATGTTGTTATCACAATATTGTATAACAGTTTCTGTGTAGGTAACTTGTACATGTCCTCGAAAGTGCCTTGTTTTAGTTTGTGGAAAATATTTGATAAGTTAATCAGTCTAGTCTGAGGTTTTCAGTAACGGGGATAGGACACGGCCATACAAACAGATTCTAGACGTGATTGTACTACCGACCTTTGTTAAGTACACATCCGGACCAACACACGGTGTATGTAAACAAATGTCCTATTACAGATATAAATCGTCTATTGTCACGTGTTCGACTGTTACATCACGAGCTAGTGTGTTGCAGTTTTATTCAATGTTAGGCCTATGAGTAGACACACTTTTCGACGGACACTTAATAGATTTAGTAGGGGTCGTTTTATTGTCTGCATGATGCTGATTTATCTTCGTAAAACCATCTAGGTAAATCTATAGAAATAAAGCCAACTGAAATTTAAAGTATCGAAGTAGAACCATCCTGATTTCTTCGGAACGATTATAGATTTCCAGTAAGTTTAGAATCCCGGATTCTCTCGGAGTATTTTTAGTCTTGTAAACCATGACAATGTAATCGTTAGTAATTTCGGGCCCGGTTACCTGCTTCTAACGTCTGCATCATCAAGTAGAATTTTAATACGACTCTGCGGCTTTACAGATGTTCTCAGTTGTTGTTATTTAAGCTTCTTGTTGTTTGAACACTCCAAAAAATACGACTGCCGATATGTCGCTAGCTGCCGGTAGTCACAATGTCAACTAATGGGACAATAGTGCCGTACCTGTATATGTCACGCGCTTCTGGAAGGGTTTTTTTCTGGTAGTAGATAACGACTGTACAGGTGTTGTCAGGTTCCCTGTCTTCTGTACACATGTTGCTCTATAGTTTGTCGTCCGTTTAGTTTACCACACGGGGCTGGTCATGTAAACTATAACAATCGCAAATAGAAATGGCATTTTCTTGTGACAATTACATCAATAATTGACCGCATGGTGGCAAACGAATATATTCCTAAATGAACATCTAGCTTTGAAAAACGTCTGTAACTATTTAGGACGATATCGGATTGTCAATATGAATCTGGTAACAGACGTAACCGGTCCGACTGGGAATGGAGACCGGTGCCGTGAAATAGACATCGTTAACATAGTAGAGGAAATGAACTTGTATTGATCCTGGTAACTTAAGTAAACTGACACAACTAAGAGGTGTTTGCATTGAACTCATGTTGTCGTGTTACAGCGCGTGAGTGGCTGACCTGGCTTAACCTTGGTTCCGTGGTCAGACTTCTATTACCGCGCTGAAGGGGTTCCATTTCAATCCTCGAGTAACAGTCAGTGGTGATGTAATTTATGTACATGATTCCTTTCTATTTCAGGGCAATATTCCAATGGCTAACTTTAAGAGATCTCAATCGTCCAATCTTCACAGAGGAAACGGCCAACAACACTGTGGAATTCATTATGAAAGAGTTTCAACAAGGACAGAGAACCCATGCACAGATATTCCAGATCATATGTTTGTACGTGTAGTATACCATGGTGTTATCTAATGATGTTGCTCATTTTGCGACAAAAAGCCATACACAAATTTAGGGCAAATATCCCTGGAGGCATGCTGTCTATTTGTACAAAAGAAATCTTTTATTTCTTATTCATTTCTTGATGAATGCAAATGAACGCACTAGTCATGTAGGGTTCATTAAGTAGTGGTGCAGCCCGCCGCTACCAGCCTGCTACACAATGTAAGGGACACCGCATTAATTTGGTAAAGCCTGTCTCATTTATCTCCGTTACCTGGTACGCCACATAGGCATCTATTATGTCACTGAACTACAGGAGTAATCATAGCGTCTATTTATTCTTTGTATAACGGATTATGAAAGGTAAGAAAATATGAAACCCAGACAGGTATTACCGGCCCAACAGTTCGTTTAGATTTTCTATATTGTTATTTTAGCCCACTAATATGATAGTACCAGTTACAATGTAGGCTAGTCCGGCCCTTTTTTTCTTTAAAAATGCACTCTCATCCAATGAGAGTAATCCCCCATAACACGCGCTTCCATCATGTTTATATTGCCGGACTAGCCTTTTATATTACCGGACTAGCCTTTTATATTACCGGACTTCCGACTAGAATTTTCAACACTTTGGTGATGCAGTAACTGCTTTGGTTTCTAGGTATTCCGGTATATACTGTAAAGTGGTTACGGGCGTTGCTAAGGGCAAAGACTATTGCCCGGGTGAGACATGCTCTCTGGACAAGTTCCGGCATTGCTGGAATGTGGTGTTCATCAAAGATAACTGGTTTCCGGTCGACGCAAAATGGGGAAGCCGTCAAGCGTCAAATGTAAGAAAGGAGTTCATGAAAATAAAACACATATGAATCCCTGAAATAAACAAATGTTTTATCACTTATCTCATTCTGTTGCAATGCTAAATTTCTGCTTAGATATAATATTTGGACATTTGTAAGCTATTTAATTTTGTCTTTTTCTTCTACTTGTAGTAATAAGTATTATTACGTAAGAAGTATATACATAAGTAGAATATATAAAGCTGATTCCAAGGAAGAATGTCAACTGATCAGTAATTGATACGTGAGGTTTTGATAAACAGACTAGTCTAATACTTTCCAAAACAGACTAATACTTTTACTTTACTTTCCATAAATACAAACTATCTCACTTTGTTTGTAGGAGAGGTCAGACAGTTATAGTGACTTTTACTTTCTAACTGATCCGGATCAACTCCAGCTTAGCCATTGGTCAGAGGTGCCGAGCTGGCAGCTAGTCGATCGTCCAATCAGCTCGTCCGAATTTGAGCATCTGCCCTTTGTAAAGCCCCACTTCTTCAAGTGTGGGTTGAGCTTTATATCCAACGTAAAGGCCGTGATTGAGACACGACGAGGACAGGTTAAATGGGACATCGGACTCGGCACTCCTGTCAAGTTCTCATTCAAACTCGTGTCCGCTGAGACTCGTCAGGAACAGTGTGGCGATGTTAACCTCAAGGATTTTGTTTTCCACGAAATCCAAAATGGCCGCGCTAGTTTTATACTCAGGTCTCCCCTTCCGGGAACATATTACCTAAAACTGTTTGCAAAGCGCCAAGAAGACAGGTCTATAAATCGAAGTCGGTTTCTTGAGGTTCTGGAGTACAAAGTACAGATAGATAAAGCTTGTATCGAAGACGACCCTCTACCGGGATGCTGGGATCACATATGGGGTCCAGGGGAGAGGGCGGAGCGATTCTGTATCTACCCTGTTCAGAAGCGCGGTATTATCACTAGCAGTGAAAAATCCATCAACCTAGAAATCAACAAAACTCGACCTGTGCAATTACTCTACCGATTCTGTCGTAACGAGTGGAAGGAGTCGGAACTCCAGAAATGTGTGAACGTTGTCCAGGACAACGACACTAAGGCTTACGTCGCCATTACGCTACCGATGGCAGGGGAATACGGACTCGAACTTTTTGCCTATATACCCTCAAAACCGGAAGTGGCGTATACGCATGTGTGTCAATATTTTATTTCTTGTCAGAGAAGAGACGAGGAGTTAGACGACGCACTGCTAGAGAAGTTCCTTGTCCGGAATGACAAGCGACAACCAATGCAGTTCGCCGACAAGGCAATGGTATGACGTGTTTCATGAAGAGCTCATAATTTCTGAATATGATAGGCCCACATACTTGATCTAATGGCAGGAAAAACTGAGTCGATATTGCAATATCGTGGTTATGATACTGTAAAGTATTGCATCCAATAGAAGGAATACTGGCAACTGACATAGGTCTGAGCAATGTTTCTGTCTCCTTTACTATAATATTCTTGCATGAAAGCCTTGACGAAAATATTATTTAAACAAAGTCTGAAATAAAGTAAGGTTTAATCTAGCATAGGATGCGTTCATAATTATGCTCAAGTTTAAATGTGGTATATATTTTCTTCGCACTTAGACCAATGGCGTCCCAGAAACCTCGAATCCGGGCGAAGCACCTTCCACGTTTGACCTCAAACCTCTTGGTGACGATGAATTGGAAGGTACGCCCCCAGAACTAGTGTCGTCTGCCAATCATCTGGCTGTGTTGGACAAACACAGAGAGAGCATGCGCAAAATGGATGCATATGCTAAAAAAGTACGTATGATATTAACTTATTTAAAATGCACAGATTTCATCCCACAGAAATATGTTTTTCTGTCCTTGCGCTTCCAAGCAACTCAACTTAAAAATGAGGGGTTAAAATTAGATCAGTTGCAAAGATTGATTGAATTCTCGCTTGTTTTCGTTCATGACTGTGACTTCATCAGATGGTGATTGTATGCCGAGGACACACGACACAGCTACCTCCGGTGAGTATAGCGTTCAAAGTATACATTTCGGCCAGCTTTCATATTTAAAGATATATTCGACCTTACTCATAAAACATATATTCAGTTCAGTTCAGTTTCTTTATTTCCAAGAGCCATCCGGCTCATAGGGTTAAATGTCAAACAATTACATCATGTGATACATAACAAGAGATTAGTATACAAATTTAAATCGATTGAAAAGAGAGTAAGCTTACAAAGTACACAAGTAGTTTTCCATATCAGACATTGAATTCTCTACTTTTTCTCGTGGCACAGTATAAATTCTTTCCTAGATTACATAATTCTTTTACATTATTAGTACTCAATAATTTTGTTAACTTAAAAACATACTAGTTTATATATGATCAGTATTAGAGTTGTGTCCCTTGAAATGCTTTATAATGATGTAAAATAACCTACGTATTACTGCTGAGTACCTTGCTGATATTTCCATCAATTAATCAACCCAGCACACAATGCAGTTCACGAGGAAAGTTTCACAGCTCTCTGGAATGGAACCCCTTTTCATGGACGGCTCTCACCGTAGTAAGACAGCATATGCTTATTGGGGCCATTGACAGTCGCTTGTTACACGCTCCAATCCTCTGGCACCTACACCTTTATCAGAAAATAACCTATACATCTTTACAGTCAGACTGTAATTTAAAAATACATATTATTCATTCTGTGATGCCGTGCGTCAGAGCTGTGGTTCGTATCAAATAACGCATAGTAATATATCAGAAATAGAGGACTTGTTTTGATATGCATTTTAACCAATGTCTTGTCTTCCATTTCAGGATGCTGACATCAATCGGGAGTCGTTTTGCTAATGGGTGGTGACTTTTTTTTCCCTCCAAACACGTGACGTATGACATTTCTTAAAAGCTACACAGATGCTTTGTAGACACAGACAGCCTGACTCTATATTTAGATCTTTTGTTTTCACCGACTCGTAAGTCACTCGGCCAGTGAACCTACGTATCACTATCGAATCGTGTGCGGTATTCAAAAGTGCTGACTTTAAAGTCGTGGTAACAATGGCAATAAATACAGTTCTATAAGTCACCTGACATGACATAGTTTTACTGGCCTTTTCTTGAAAGTTGACTGAACAAGGCTATTAATCTTCGTTAACCATAAGCAATCACATTTGTACTAAATCCTGTTCTTGAATTGCTTAAACAATAAACTGTTTTACTCCATTGTAATGTATCAGTGTGTTGTTTGTCTAACAATAGCAAATCTGTGACGTCACCCTTTTATGGCTAATTAATAGGAAGGAGCAAATTAGTTTCTACAACACATGAATTGTATACGTCACATAAGTCTAGAACACATTGTTTACGTCACCATAACGGTTGTTTGTTACTGTGTCTACAACACACGTATTGTGTACGTCACTACTGTGTGTACGGCTGGTGAAACAGTCTTGTACTTGAAAGTTTTTCTATATAACTCAATATTATGTAATGTTTTATGCCGTTTGTGTCGTAATTACCTAGCTGCCTGACTATATATTTGATATACGATAATAGAAAGTATTTGTAATTTAGATGTAGGCTCGTCCTAATTTCTCGTATCTTCATTTTTCCGTAATTCGTTCACGTGCAGGAGCGCATCTGGTGTATATCTATAAAACTTTGCCAAGAAACGATGTAACATGGACTCTGCACTCCACGTGTTATAGCACGGCATACATCACGTGGGTTTACGTACTTGCATACACCTGTAGACGATACCTACGGGATGCACGTACATTGCACTCCCTACCTGTATAGACAGAATTGTTGAGGAAATGATTGAAGATATGTGATGCGTATATTATTCTAGCAATTAAAGTAGTCGCCTAACCCAAGGCTACACGTGGTTTTCGCTATTGTAATAGTTCGTCTTTTCCTCACGTGCTTCCCTTAGATCAGTTTAAGTGTCAGCACGTGATGGTTTCAGTTTGTTTCAAAATTGGTCATTTTTGTAATTAGATTGGTAATCTTTTGGAGAGTCCCCTATCCCTGAAGTTTTATATAATACAACTTTTAAGTCCTCATAATGAAAGCGTGAAAGGAGGATTTAGGATTTAACAGGTCTCACAGATTTATTGATTGGCCACTTATTGATTAGTTTAGGTTTAACAAGCATTAAGTCTACGACCAAATATAAAATGATGCATGAGGCAATCATATTTTAATGTAATGAAATATTTCCAAATAAGGATATTTTTCATATCTTTATAATCTTCAAAACATAGTACTGTGAACTCGACCGTACTCGGCTCTCCCTTCTTAATCTACCCCTACAATAATTCTACAAGGGGTACAGTAAACCTAAAATCCTCTAAAATACAAATCTGACGTGAATGTAGTATTAACTTCTATTTTCAATTGCGATGATGTCATAGATTACTTTTAAAGATGATTACTTTCATTTTGTGGACAGGTCTGTGAGAAACACCACGCGACATTCCGAGACCTATTATGGGACCTGCACTCGTGTAAACCAGTTGAGGACCCGTTCACCAAGGTCAGGTAAGTGTGATGTCAATGACGTTTCATAAAGGTATTCATCATTGTCAGGTTGGTATGAGGTTAAAAGCGTCATATACACCCCTAAACTAAGGTGTGGAATGTGTGGGGTCAAGGACATTACAAAGAACAGCTTAACAAAGCATTGTAGGTGTAAGGTCAAAGACATTACAAAGAGCCTTTCACCAATGTCAGGTGGGTACGGAGTCAAGGATATCATAAACAGACGATCACTAAGGTATGGAATATGTGGGGTCAAGGATGTTAAAAAGAGCCTTTCACCAATGTCATGTGAAAATACGGTCAAGGACGTCATATAGGTTAGCTCACCAAGGTCAGGTAGGTGTGCTGTCAATGAGAGGCTGGGAGTTGACGGGTCAATGACATACCATAGACCCCTCACCAAGGTCAGGTTGGTGTGGTGTCAATAAGAGTCTGGGAGTTGGCGTGTCAATGACATACCATAGACCGCTCACCAAAGTCAGGTAGGTGTGGTGTCAATGAGAGGCTGGGAGTTGACGGTTCAATGACATACCATAGACCCCTCACCAAGGTCAGGTAGGTGTGGTGTCCATGAGAGTCTGGGAGTTGACGGGTCACTGACATACCATAGACCGCTCACCAAAGTCAGGTAGGTGTGGTGTCAATGAGAGTCTGGGAGTTGGCGTGTCAATGACATATCATAGACCGCTCACCAAGATCAGGTAGGTGTGGTGTCAATGAGAGTCTGTGAGTTGACTTGTCAATGACATACCATAGACCGCTCACCAAGGTCAGGTAGGTGTGGTGTCAATGAGAGTCTGGGAGTTGACGGGTCACTGACATACCGTAGACCGCTCACTAAGGTCAGGTAGGTGTGGTGTCAATCAGAGTCTGGGAGTTGACGGGTTAATGACATACCATAGACCGCTCACCAAGGTCAGGTATATGGGTGTCAATGAGAGTCTGGGAGATGACGGGTCACTGACATACCATAGACCGCTCATCAAGGTCAGGTAGGTGTGGTGTCAATGAGAGTCTGGGAGTTGACGGGTCAATGACATACCATAGACCCCTCACCAAGGTCAGGTAGGGGGGGTGTCAATGAGAGTCTGGGAGTTCACGGGTCACTGACATACCATAGACCGCTTACCAAAGTCAGGTAGGTGTGGTGTCATTGAGAGTCTGGGAGTTGGCGTGTCAATGACATATCATAGACCGCTCACCAAGATCAGGTAGGTGTGGTGTCAATGAGAGTCTGGGAGTTGACGGGTCAATGACATACCATAGACCCCTCACCAAGGTCAGGTAGGTGTGGTGTCAATGAGAGTCTGGGAGTTGACGGGTCAATGACATACCATAGACCGCTCACCAAGGACAGGTAGGTGTGGTGTCAATCAGAGTCTGGGAGTTGACGGGTTACTGACATACCATAGACCGATCACCAAGGTCAGGTAGGTGGGGTGTCAATGAGAGTCTGGGAGTTCACGGGTCACTGACATACCATAGACCGCTCACCAAGGTCAGGTAGGTGTCTGGGAGCTGTAACAGGAAGTATTGAGTGTAAGAACTACTGTGGGTTTAGTCTTCAGTGATAATTGCTTTAGTGGGTATGACGCAATACGTATTCTATTTCAAAGATTGTGTAAGTTTGATTATTTACATTGTTCCTTACCAACTCTGTACATGTAAGTTAGACACTCAAAAAAATATTCAAAACAAGCTTGCACCACTTAGCCATGTAGCTCTAGTGGTTTGAATGTGGTTTATGTAACAAATTGTCTATGCGTACAGAACGTGTAATTTTTTTTTTATTGAAGATGTATTTTTAAAACAACGCGGTTAGAGTCGTTTCGTGTAGATGCAGCTTAACAATTTGTCTTTATGTCTCCCAGATGTAAACACGTAATGAAAATCAGTAAAACATTCTATGAGTCACAAATCAGCTACTTTGAAATTCCATTTTTTTATGGTGTCTTCATATTTGTCTTTCTTTCGTTTTGTGTTTCCGTAGTTTCTGCTGTCTTTTAATGTCTCCTCAGTTCCTGTTTGTCCATTCATTTCTGCTCTGTTCCTGTTGACCTTTCGTGTCTCCTTTGTTACAGCTGTCCTTCCGTTTCTGCTCTGTTCCTATTGTCCTTGCGTTTTTCCTTTGTTCCCGTGACCTTTCCGGTCTCCTTTGTTACACCTGTCCTTCCGTTTCTTCTCTGTTCCTATTGCCCTTTTGTTTCTCCTTTGTTCCCGTGACCTTTCCGGTCTCCTTTGTTACAGATGTCCTTCCGTTTCTTCTCTGTTCCTGTTGACCTTTCGTGACTCAGTTGTTACAGCTGTCCTGCCGTTTCTGCTCTGTTCCTATTGACCTTGAATTTCTCCTTTGTTCCCTTGACCTTTCGTGTCTCATTTGTTACAGCTGTCCTTCCGTTTCTGCTCTGTTCCTATTGCCCTTTCGTTTCTCCTTTGTTCCCGTGACCTTTCGTGTCTCCTTTGTTACACTTGTCCTTTCGTTTCTCTTCTGTTCCTGTTGGCCGTTCGTTTCTCCTTTGTTCCAGTTGACCTCTTCGCTCATGTTGACCTTTCGTTTCTCCTTTGATCATTGTGCCATTCCGTGTGACCTCAGTTCCTGTTGTCCTCTTACTTGTGTTTCGAAGCCATGGTATATATATATATATATATGTATATTACACGGTGTTGGTACCCTGTGAGACCCTGTATATGTTTTCTGCTTCTTGTGCACTTATAGGATCCTTTACCTGTGGCTGGCCACCAAGAAAGTACAGGACATCACGTTCGAGGATGTGACTGAAGGAAGTCCGGAGGAGACACTACACTGTCTACACACGGGCCGGACCACGTACGCAATGGCTTTCCACACTCTGTGCAGGTACTAATCCTAGTCACGACTCCGGCATGTCAATACGTAGATAAGGTTATATAGATATTATCACAGTCTGGTCGGTACGTGTCAATGTGTAATACATAAGCATTGCGCACTAGCCGATTACGAGGTGTCTGTTTACTAATAAGTATTGTCAAGGTTTCATATGTTCAAAAGATCTGTACAATAAAAAATCAGTCACCTTATTGAAGAGAGTTGTATTCACGATTTTATTCTCAGTCATCGCTAGAAACGACAATGTACTCGGAATGCATGCGAAATAATTCTGAAAGTGTAATGAGTCCTCGATATACAGTTTAAAACTATTTCTTTTTCCAGGTACAGCGGTATCCCGTGCCGAGTGTTGACAGGCCAGGCTAAGGGTACGGACTACAAGCCCGGACAGGTCATGGGCGGACCAGGCTCAAACTTCCACACGTGGAACGTCGTCAACTTGGACGGGCATTGGTTCTTTGTCGACATTCGATTTGCGAGGCGACCAATCATCAGCAACCTAACAACATCGGGCGACATCCAGCACGGCCTGGACGACCATTTCTTCTTGACAGTTCCCTCGAGATTTATCTACACCCACTTCCCTGACGACCAACAGTGGCAGCTGCTGGACCCGCGCGTTACCATGGAGCAGTTCTCTAACATGCCGGTCATGACACCACATTTCTTCCTCCTCGGTCTCGACATCCTCAGCCACAACAGTTACCAAGTAACAAGCAAAGGGGATACAACCATCACATTACGGTACCCTACCAACTGTCCACCATTCCACTTCACATTCAGTATTCATCCGAGTGTGAAGAACGATGAGGGAGAAGGTCAGAAACTCAATCGGTACGGTATGCTTGAGGCCCATGATGGCATCATTACCTTCCGGCTACGACTGCCTGAGACAGGCTCATATACGTTCTTTGTATACGCCAAAGAGGACTCGCCGGAGAAAAAGGACAGCATGTTCGCCCAGGTGTGTGAGTACAAAATAATCCAGGAGGAAGTTCTGTCTCCAGTGGCCAAGCCGTATCCCCCGTGCGCCTACCAGAGCTGGGGACCCGGGTCCGCCTTCTACCTCTTTGGTATGCTTACCGAGCACACGAACGCTGTAATCCCCACCCAGGAAGGACAGGCCACTCTGGTCGTCACCACTCCCAAGATCATGCAGTACAGAACGAGGCTGGTCCAATTCCAGGATGCCACTGACTTTGAGGGTTACGTCACTCATCGCACAAGTGGTAACGAGACAAAATTTTCCATCACAGCCCCAGGACGCGGCGAATATGGTTTCGAGATATATGCCAAAGACCCGGATATAGACTCAAAGAAGATGCGTCACGTGGCGCAGTACCTTGTCGTCTGTGACGAGGACGTCAAGCCTATGCAGTTGCCTCGCCTACCTTCAGGTTTCCTTGGGGAACAGCCAATGCTGGTTAAACATGGGATCATTCCTGCCACTCATCCTGATCCCATCATGCATCTGGACGGAAATTACATCGAAATCGAGTTCCACACGTCAAAGGGAATGCGGTTTACCTCAAGCATGAGCGAGATTGAAACAAAACGGGAATGTTCCGAGTTTATCTTTATACAGTCAATCGCCGAGGGGATTCGTCTGTGCGTTCTCCTCCCTCAGGAGGGCTTCTTCGCTTTATGTATCCATGGCAACCTATTTGAGGACAATAGTCAACAGATACCGGGTCTGTATAACTACCTTATTCACTGTAAACAGACGGCAACACCAGTGGTGCGCTACCCGAAACAGTTCGGCTACTGGAAGGAGGGCTGCTATATGTGGGAGCCAATGACCATTGCGCCCAAGACGGAAACAGAGTTAATTCCCTTCCGTGTACGGATCCCTAAGGCTTTCGTAGTGGCAGTTGTGGTAGACCAGGACTGGACTCGCCTTGATCAGGACGATTCCGGTGTGTGGGAGGGCAAGGTAGAGCTCGTTCCTAATCCGGAAGCTCCTTCCCGGATCGTTCTAGTTGCCAGCTATGATGTAGAACAGAGTCGCTTCTCTTCACTTCTAGAATACAACGTCTAGTTTCATGAAGTAGCGTTATCATTGGAGGACAGTGTAAAGTTACCAGAAGAAATGTTACCACTGAAAAACAGTGTCTGGTTTCGTGAAGAGAGTTATCTAAAGTATCTGAGGATGTCAGTTCACTTCATTTCGCGTCCACAAAGGAGGTGTGTTTTTGGCAGCTATACATGCGGTTGGCCTATCGTTATCAGTCCTGGTGCCTAATTGTTGCCGCAGAAAGTACTATAAAATAAATGAATGACGAACAGCCTGGTATTTGTAAAGTGACAGTTAAAATAATTACTGAATGAATTTTATACCCTGACATATTTCTTCTTTTAAACAACCAAATGTCACTTCCAAAATCGCCTCATCAGTTATACGGTGCGATTTGTGGGTTATAGTGTGCGATAGGAGGCGCGCTGTATGTATCGCTATGTGTTTAATTGGAACAATATGTGACATATCGATGTCTGTCCACTATGGCTAATGTATGTAGCGGTACATTGTCCACGGTGTGTGACTTTATATTGACATGTGCCATCGGAGACACTGTGTATGCACTAGTTTGTACTTGTATTCACTCTGTGAGATGTAAGCCAGGCTGTGACCACTGGGGGCGCTCGCTGTATATAAATGTTTTCACTGGGAAGCGCCGTACGGCACTAGTATGGACAGGTGTTACGAAAATGCGAAGCAAACCTAATTGTTATTTTCTAGCCAATATATTATATGCAAATGCGGCGAAATGAGTTGATAGGATTCAGTCAGATGGCTTGGTGTGACTGAACAGTGATATTATCGCTTCATTCTCGGCTACCAGCACGCGTGTTCACTCTACAAATCGCATCACTCGATTATCGAGGGACATTCATAAACTATTTGAAAGCCATCCGTCAACGCCAACAGGTCCGTCCGTTTATAGTGACTTCGGTTCTAAATAACTCTGTTATTGATAACACACCACCCATAGGACACACCATTACAACACACGCCATCCACAGGACACACCATTACAACACACATCATCCACAGGACACACCATTACAACACACACCATCCACAGGACACACCATTACAACACACACCATCCACATCCGTTCTACTGTAGACATGATGATATAGCTTCTAGACAGTATAGGGTACTTACACTGGTGTTTGAGTCGGACGGTGCTTCTTTATATATCAATAACTTAGATTATTTTGTCACAATTTTCCACATTTTTTATTTTAGCAAAATCAAAGTGTTGCATGCTCAAAGCGTAAGGTTCCCATAACAACCTATCACAAACAGTTAACTCGCCACCCACGCTCTACCTCCGGATTTCAGCTACGTGCAATCTATATACTGTTAAGAATTTTAGGTAATATGTGATATTTTTTGTAGATTAGCATTTCATAATGATGATTATGGTCGTTTTTGTATCATGTTGGAGACATTTAACGAGAAGGGAGGTAACTCTAGCATCACATTTTTCCTCTGCAACATATGAGATACTCCCAGCATTTTCTCTTAACACGTGAATGAATATGTATAATAACAACATGTGACCAGTCGTTAATAATTAATGGTGGAGACGAGAGGTGAACTACACGCGAGGAACTTGTAGAACTTAATGAGAAGTAAAGTATAGATATGCCATTGTTTCTAGCTCTACATTCACCTCTTTGCAGTACACTTACGATTTGAAAACTACTCGCACACATATGTAGTTGAATTTGAACTTTAAAACCTCCTAACTTCTTTCGTTGAAGACAAACAGTTTATTTCATGAGTTTATATGAAAAAAAATCACTTTGATAATCGAAATATTGATGAGCCAACAGTGTAAATATCTATTGATATAGTCCATGGGCCTTTCACAGTGCTGGATGTAGAACAGTGAAATTAAACCCTGGGAGAGTACGAGTGATGTAACTCTCAGAGCGAGGGATGTAGCTCTCAGAGCGAGGCAAGTAGCTCTCGGAACGAGGGATGTAGCTCTCAGAGCGAGGGAAGTAGCTCTTTGAACGAGGGATATAGCTCTCGGAACGAGGGATGTAACTCTCGGAGCGAGGGATGTAGCTCTCGGAACGAGGGATGTAGCTCTCAGAGCGAGGGATGTAGCTCTAGGAACGAGGGATGTAGCTCTCAGAACGAGGGAAGTAGCTCTCGGAACGAGGGATATAGCTCTCAGAACGAGGGATGTAGCTCTCGGAACGAGGGATGTAGCTGCAAGAAACGGTCCCTGTATATCTTCAAATGCAAAGATGATGTTTGATTGCTAGTCAGACATTAAAGTGCTAGTTGAACTCTATTTTGGCATGTATTATTCTCTGGAACGAGTGTTTGTTATGGTAAACAATGGGATAGACTGATGATGTTATGGTTGGTATACAAATAAACCTATATTTCACACATGATATTTTTTTTTTTATTATTGTGAGTCCTGTTCCGTAATGTATTATCGGCTGTGACCAATGAATACCATGAAACTACCCCGATCGGTAGGCTACCCAGATTGGTACACAGCCAGAAAATGTTTCAAAGAGTACTCTGAAATTAAATTTGTGCATAATTTTTGTCTAAGGACATAAGTTAACAATATAATATTGGTCGGTATTTCACCAGATAGATTGTATTCATTGGTTTTTATAGTGTGAAGACAGAAATAAACCAACGTACGTTGTCATTTTGAAGATATTGTAGGGGTAATCATGATTATACGAATTTTTAGATATTAATTTCTAGCTCCATACAACCGAGTAATACATGTTTATATATGAAAATTGTAGTTTAGTATTATAACTATAACAAAATGACTTTTTATTGCAATATTTACCCTTAATGAATAGAAACGAGCAATATTTCTATAGCCTGTCATATAGTTACCATTTTGGGTACAAGTCGTTGCCGAAAAACGGGATGTGATGTCACGATGCGCGATGTTTAGAATTGGATCATTTCTATGATCAGAGATTTTTAATGAACCACTATGGTCAGTCTTTGTCAAAATCAAGGGAAAATTCATATATTGGATTAAGAATTTTCAATATTACTGAAAAAAGTGTCAAAATTGTACGAAGTTTGGGTAGCGTCACTTTTTACCAAAAAGAGTGGCAATATGACCGCAGAAAGCAGGATTACGCATAGTAAATTTTATACCGCTTCGAGGGGCATAATTAAATCCCACCTTCCTTTTCCGAATGACTCGCTATTTCGAGACACTTTCTGTGAATGCCAACAAGACAAACATTGACATCAGTCTCACACGGGCATCAATAGTAATTGGTAGGAATGCGGTGAGTATCCCCCACCCCCACCCCCAACCCCACCCCCGTGTTTCAAGAGTCTCAAGCTTAAAAACGTCAACAGCTGCTTGATCGTGAAAGTATATCAGACCCCGGGTGTAAAGGTTCAAATTCTTTGTATTGAACCATTCGGTGTTAACATATACACTTGATAACACATGTAAACAAAAATGCATACATATTACCACCCCATCACCAAGTTCAAGTGTTTTGACCCATTCGTTTATTACATAACAGTTGACTTTGCTATGTATAGACCTAGCGATTTCATTTTAAAATCAATTTTGCAATAAATTTTGCCTGTTGTTAACTCCAACGCTTTCTTATGATTGATTAAACAACAATAAAGTATTTGTGTACGTGTGATTAATGATAGGATTGCAATTACAAAACAGCGTGAGCAGTCGACAATTGTTCTATTGGGTTGCGCAGGCGCAAGCGGCAAGACGTCTTTCACGGGAGCTCCGGCTTCTTACAGAAATATTGCATGGTTTGAGCGTTAAAAACACCTTTTTGTACAAAATTATAATTTGTCCTTTAGTACTTATTATTTATCATCTCCTTCTATCATCAAATTTGTAAAGTTTTCATATCCTCTGAATCTTTGACTTTTCAATAATTATTAATTCAGTAGGCCAACTTCAAATTCCCGCCATTCTGTCAATTGGTGTGCACTTCCGCGGTGTAAACAAGCGAACATCCCCCTCCCCCTGTAATCTGTGATAAGACCGTTACCTGGGAACATAAGGGTATTGTCTGTGATACATGTGACCAGTGGTTTCATGTGGACTGTCAAAACATTAACAACATGTCATACGAGGAATTGAACGATAGTATGGTTAGCTGGCACTGTATTATCTGTGATAACCCAAATTATTCTACTCTTTTATTTCATCTGCACAGTATTTCTAGATTCTGTAAAGAATTTTGATAGCCAGATGAGTCCAAAGACCTCTTCTCATGTATCTAAACCAGGTCACTCATCTACTCCAGCCAGGAAAACAGCATTTTCTAAAAAATCTACTCATAAGCCACTACGTAACTTGAATGTTCATCATGTTGTTGACAGTGTCAAGCCCGATATCATCCTTGGAACTGAAACATGGTTAAAACCAAATATTAAAGACACTGAAGTTTTTCTGGATGAGTTCAACATATACAGAAAGGACAGAGTTGGTGAAAAAACAGGTGGTGGTGTGCTTCATCTTAAGTACATGGTCTCTTACCACCAGTGTGAAATTGTCTGGACTAAAATAGAAATGATAGGTTGTAAAATCCTAAAGCAGCAGACAGTTCAAATTCGATAAGCTTTGACACATCTGTTAGGAAGGCACTATTCGCAATGCTTGAGTCTACTCATTGGAGGAGATTCCAATCCCCCAGGTTGGGATTGGGAGCATAGAATTCTAAAACCCAATACTCTCCACCCACATATTCATTATAATTTTGGCACCTTCCTTTGATGACGCAGTACTTACCCAACTGGTAGAAAAGCCCACACGAAACAATAATATCTTGGACCTTATCATCATAACGACCATAGCTTAGTCCCCCGTATTAAAGTTATGCCTGGCGTTTCGGATCATGACATTGTGTTTGTCGAATTCCTAGCTTCTACTTTAAAGCAAAAACAAAAACCAAGACAAAAAAATCCATTATACACAAAAAATTTTTTTTATCTTTAGCTTAAATTTTCTAATGAGGAGCATATTGCTGATACTAATACCATCTGGTGTGATTTCAAGTCATTTCTGAACTCTTTGGCGAATATGCATATACCACACAAAATATCAAAACCAAAAGAAAGCCAACCCTGGATATTAAATGAAATTCAACACTTGATTAGTAAACTCAACAAATTATTTAAAAAATCAAGAAAGTCTGGTGATAAAGATCTAACAAAGAAACATTCCATCCAAAAAAGGAGTATTGGAAATATATAGATTTATTTTTTTACTCCAGATGAGACTTCTGTCAATGGAACTTTCACATGTATAAAAAGTGTTTGGACCTACATAAAACACAAGAAAACAGACTTCACAGGTATCCCCCCATCTAAAAGAGGATGGCAAGCTCATTTCAGATTCCTGTTCAAAGCCAACCTACTCAATAAGCAATTCGAATCAGTTTTCTCTAAATCCAAAAACATATCTCCTGACGTCTTTGCAAAAGAAAATTATATAAATCCAGATATATCCAACCATGAACCGTCACCCAAAATGGTATCCAAAACTACTTACAAATCTTGATAACTCCAAAGCACCAGGCCCGGACGACTTGAGTCCAAGAGTTTTGAAGGAATTGGTTAGTGAAATTGCCCCCATTTTGAGTATAATATTCAACTCATCCCTACAATCTGGCACTGTTCCGCAAAATTGGAAAACCGCCCATATTGCTCCAATATTTTAAAAAAGGCCAAAAATATGATCCTGTAAATTACAGACCTATCTCACTCACTTGCATTTGTTGTAAATTAATGGAACATGTCATAGTGTCACACATCATGACACATTCAGATCGTCACAATATTTTGTATCCTCGCCAACATGGTTTTCGAAAATTCAGATCCTGTGAAACACAACTTTTAGAATTTGTTGACGATATTACCAAAACTCTTGACAACTCAAAACAATCAGATATATTGGTTATGGATTTCTCTAAGCCAGACACTATCTTCTTACCAACAAACTCAGTCATTATGATATAGATGATAAAACAACTTCCTGGATCTCAAACTTCTTAAATGATAGAACCCAATCAGTACTTGTTTAAAGCGTCAAATCTGAGTATATACAAGTTTTATCCGGTGTCCCCCAGGGATCTGCTCTGGGGCTTTATCTGTTCCTATTTTATATTAATGACATGCCGATTGTCTTGAACTCCACGGTCAGACTGGGAGAAAAAAAATGGCTAATGGCTTTCCACCCTGATAAGTGCTATGCTCTCACAACTTCTAAGAAAAAAAACCTGTCATTTTTTATTATTTTCTTCATGGCCGAATATTAAAACATGTTGATTCTGTGAAATACCTAGGAGTAACCATCAGATCAGATTTGAAATGGGACTCTCATGTAGATCAGATTTGCAACAAGGCAAATTCTACTATTAGAAGAAAATCTAAATATTAGCTCAACAACATTTAAAGAACAAGCTTACACATCTTTGGTTAGACCCTCTTTAAAATATTCTTGCTCTGTTTGGGATCCGTACACAAAAAATCAAGGAGGAGTTTAAGGATAGGCACATCAACAAAATAGAAATGGTGCTGAGGAGATGAGCCCGATATGTGTCAAATCGCTTTCGGAATACCTCTAGTGTAACAGATATGATTGGTACTTTTGGCTGGCGCAGCGTGTCAGATCGTAGCGAAGATGCACGCCTGAAGATGTTCTATAAAATTCATCAGGGCACGGTGGCCATATCCACGACTGACAGGATGCACCGAGCCAGAATAATTCCTAGAAATTCCAACCAGGTCCAATACCAACAGCAATACTCGAAAACACTAACTAGACAACAATCCTTTTGTCCTCGTACCATACTAGACTGGAACAAACTACCATCTGACATCGTTAATGCACCCACTTTCAACCCTTTAAAAGCATCTCTTTCCAGGCACACCTATAAAATTGAAGATGCAGAGTAATTAATTACTTCAACAGACTTTACATAATAATTTACCACTTCTCTTCTTTTCCCCCTTTTCCGAACAAGCTTTGTAGGTGGGGGTTGAATTTTCCTTCTTTTAACTTTAACTTAGTGGATACTTATTAATTGTTATGTAATATATATAGTCTGTCATTTGTGCTGCATAAACCCAATTTCGTAACAAAATCATCAATTAGTTGAAGGTGGTCACTATATGGTAGAAATGGCAATCCCCATCGTAACCCCAAACTTAGCTGCGGGAATCGTAGCTTCTAGGCCCGATCGTTTGATTTGTTTTTTCAATATTTTTTTTATTATCGAACGATCTAGTTCTAAATTAACCCACACAGTGTATTGGTCAACATGCTGTTTTTGTTATCAAATCTGATATTCAATATACGAAGACAGCGGAAGTGTTGATAATTTGTAGACAAAAACATAAAACATTCCTAACATTACTTCTATTCACAAGTTTATTGACAAGGAAACAAATGAAAACCATTGTTTGGAAGTGATTAAATCATTCAACTTCCAATAAAAAAATACCTTTTTGACAATAAACATCGAGGTAAAGTTGTGCTTATAATTCTTGGTAGTCCCACATAGGAATAATTAGATCATTTTGGCGAGAGTTATTCCCCTTATTACGTGTATGAAACGAAGTTGAGTTAAGGAAATAATGAAATGTTTTAGACTATCCTTATATCAGAAACGTTGAGGGCAATTTTGGCAATTTTGATTTCATTAAATGATTATAATGATATAACCCATAATAGAATCAGAAAATTAATCCATGTTCAACTTATAGTATATGTGCTACATCAGGTTTATGTATAATCTTTTTTCTTATAATTTCATATCGTCCTCGGTAGTATAGTGGTAAGTATCCCCGCCTGTCACGCGGGAGACCGGGGTTCAATTCCCCGCCGGGGAGGTCGATATTTTTTCCTTCTTAAGATTTTTGATTTTTCTTTTTCTCATTTACAGCTATTACATCTGATCTTCACATTTTTTTTTAACCTTTGTAAAACATCTAAATCAAATCCATTACTTATTGTAAATGAACGTCACAGAGTGGACGGTAATATATGACAGATTGTTACAAAATCACTTTAAAGGGACATCACGTGAAAAGGCGGTTTTTTTTTAATGAATGTATGTATTGTATGCACTTCCACTTATGTTACCTCGCTATCCCCATATTCATAGTCCGTTCCAAATGTCCAGTTTGACCACTTGAATTGTTCGGGAAAGCCCGGCTAAAAATAGCGCCGATAACGTCACCTGATTAGGCAGCAAACACAAGTGGTGCGAGCGAGATGAAACGGTTTACAAAGGGGCCCTCAGAGAGGGGCCGTCAGGCAACTGCAACTTCTTACCGCACTATGAAACCAAGTTATATGATTTCTAATTCCGTATTCAAACTTATTGAACAGTAATTATTCATCATCAGAAGTTAATTGCACACTTGCCAATATTAAGAATTTAAATTTATTTAGCTTTTAACATAAATTTGTTGCCAATAAAATTAAACAAAGGATGGGGCACAAGTTTTTACAATTTATCACAGCCTTCTCCCGTGACCGGTACAGGTGGTACGGGGCTAAACACTCCCTCAACAATGGGACAAACCTTTCTGTAAAAAGGAATATTCACGAGACGAATATCCCTTTTCAAATGTTTACATAAAGTGCATATATGCAATGACAAACTACACGCGAATATAAAAAGGAAACGTTTGTGAATTTATTTATTACATTAAACAACTCAATGTCTTTGGCCATTTTTTTTCTAGACCATGAATATAAATCTATGTATACTCTCTTTCCCACTTTCACTGTCTCCAAACGCTAACATTTAGGAAGTCATATTAACCATCACACACAATAAACTGTATGGCAAAACCACTACGTGTACATGTAGAATATGTGTCAATAAGGAACGTGTTGAGATACTTGATAATTATATTTTTTCAATACTTTACAGAGATTAAAGCATACTTTTAAATGGACCTTTTTATGCTGAGACAACTTTTCTTTAATCAGTTCCTTTGGTCCGAAACAGAAGCCGTAGTTATCGGCAGCACGCGCCATTTTTATAACGTAATCAAATATTTTTTCCCCTGTTTTCAATACGTATTCCGATTCTATCTGAAGTCGAAAATTTATTCTTTATAGAGAAAAGGTTGTTACATGATCATACATTCTAAGTCAACATCATATGAAAACATGAACTGTTGAAAAATTACGATTTAAAAAAAAAGTGTTATGCGATCCTATTTACTAGAAGTAGGTTCTCCTTCCTCAGTTATTCATCCTGGTCCGTCATTTTGACATTTTTAATCTAGCTGCGATAACGTAGCTTTCTGACGAAGAGCGATTTTTTTTTTATATATTGCGTCGTCGCGCCAGGGCAGGCCGGGTATTATATTAGTACTAATTTAAAACTTGCATGTCAAAACAAAAAACAATCGTTTAATTCAGCAATATAATTAAATCATACCATTTTACTGATCCCGGTAATATTATAAATTATGTAAATCTAATAGCGCACGTATCTCATTTGACCCCGAGCACCGACAGAGGATCAGAGAACAGAATACGCCGTGGCCATCACAGCAGTTATCCCTTGGGGGGCCTCATGGCAAAATCAAACTAACCAGTCACTTATCCCTTTCGTTTGCATAAACCACTGTATAATTATAAAAAACACAAAGTAAACTCTCTCCGATACATGCCCATTAACATATTAAACTAAGTTCATCTGTGTTCAAACTCACACAATGATACTAGCGAGGTTAATAGTTTTAGATATTTATTCATAACATAAACAGCGCTAGCATTTCTGTCGATTTTATTTCAGCTTAACCGGCCGCTATCCGGAAGAAAACATGCACCGTACTGACTGCTAGGGCAGTTATTTTCTGCTTTGAATACTTCCCACTGGCAATAATGATTCCGTAACGTACCCCTTGCGCTATCTTTTGACCATTTGGCAACTATTCGCTTCGTAGCTGACACGGTACAACACTTTTCTTTGGCTTACTTCACACGGCCAGTCATCTTGTTTACAAAGAAATGGTGTGCTATGCGCATGCGCTAGTAGAGGGAAATCCCTGAACAAAACGTTGGTCAGACAGGTAGAAATACCGATGATTATCTTAGATTTAATCATTTTTATGAATCTATTTCAGCCAAATCCGATCGGCATTTTCCATAAGGAGTCTCACTTGATATGTTTATGTAGTATTTGGAAAAAAGACACAAAAAAAAGTTACTTCAGCGTGATGCCCCTTTAACACCCCAAGCGTTAAAATTTTGTGATCACAATCATAACCGTTAAATTTGAGAAAGTCAATAGAATATAAGGCTATATCGGATAAATATCGGGTTTCACCTTGTCTATAGGCAAGAAAATCTGTATATATACGCTTTTTGTAATGTAACCATTAGTTGTTTTAATATAACCATCTGTTGTTATAATGTAACCATCAGTTGTTTTAATGTAACCATCAGTTGTTTTAATGTAACCATCAGTTGTTTTAATGTAAACATCAGTTGTTTTAATGTAACAATCGGTTGTTTTAATGTAGCTATCAGTTGTTATAATGTAACCATCGGTTGTTTTAATGTAACCATCAGTTGTTTTAATGTAGCTACCAGTTGCTTTAATGTAACCATCAGTTGTTTTAATGTAACAATCAGTTGTTTTAATGTAACAATCAATTGTTTTAATGTAGCCATCAGTTGTTTTAATGTAACAACAAGTTATTTTAATGTAACAATCAGCTGTTAAATGTAAACATCAGTTGTTTTAATGGAACTATCAGTTGCTTTAATGTAACAATCAGTTGTTTTAATGTAACAATCAGTTGTTGAAATGTAACCAACAGTTGTTTTAATGTAACTTATATGCAATCGTGTAACAAACATTATTCAACGTTGCTTCACGGATTAAAGTATTCATATTGTATTTTAAAATGGATATTGAAATTGGGCTCTTGAAGAAATTATAATAATAATCTATCTAGCTTACATAAGCCACTCTAAAGCGCTTTACAGTACATAGACATACATTAATCAATACAATTTTGAGGAATTCGCAGGAGCTGCCTTATAGGCCTTATCACCGCCATAGATTTCTAAGAAACATTTAATTAATGCAGGTGACTGATATTTGTCTTGTCTGTAGGAGAAAGCGTCCATAAGTTGAGATAACTTCTGGTCATAGTGTGCTTAAGTTTATAAAATGTGGTTAATTAATTAGAAAAGACAGAAAGGATTTATCAATTGTTGATATATAAGTTATCTGTATGTTTAAGGTAGTATGTAGTATATGCTTAGTGGTAATATAATTATGTAATGGCGGTAACGTTTTGGTAAATAGCTAATTATATCTGTTGATCCTATGGTAGTGTTGCAAGAAGGCTTTGCTACATGTGTTTGAAGCTCTTTTTACCATTATATATTGGTACCCGTGTTTGAAGTTCTTTTTACCATTATATATTGGTACCCGTGTTTAAGGCTTTTCGTGTCATTATCACATTGATAACCGTATTTGAAGCTCTTTTACCGTTATGACGTTGGTACCTGTTTGAAACTCATTGCGTCATTATTTACAAATTGATACCTGTATTTCAGCTCTCTGTATCATTATTACGTTGATACATGCGTGTTTAAGCTCTGTGCCCAGGCTTTTATCGATGCTCCCCAGCTGAAGTCGACCAAACAATGACACTCGCCTCGTGCATGGATGCGCGTGTCCCACAGGATTTGTGGTCGGATCCCGCCTGTGTGAGCATGCGTGGTAGAGCCGGAGAAGCAGCGTTAAGCGTGATTCAGACGCTGGGAGCCTACTATGAGCAATACCCTGATACACCAGTAGTGGGAGTGTACCTAGCGCCGGAGACCTGGTACGTGTTACGGGTGGATTATACACCCAGCTGTACACCATTCCGTTGGATTAGCAGTGAGATAGTGCTCCTTTTCCAGGTGGATTAGTAACGAGATTGTACTCCAGTGGGATAATGACGGACACGATACTGACAGAGCCGGCCAGTACCGGGGCTCGGTGGAGTTTACTGCAGTTCTCATTGGTGTGTTGTTATACGGTCGGGATACATGGCACCACCAGTCTCCCTCACTTCTCCTTTATATACACAGGTAAGGCACGTGTACCAACAACCTGCATATAACGGCCAACTCATGTCCAGTTTGCGTACGGTCGAGACATTTTTTTAAATCACAAGATGTTCTATTGCAGTTCTTGCATGGTAAATATTACAAAACTTATTAAATCGAAATATCCAAACCAAATAACACCGGAACAGCTAAAACAGCATCCCGTTTCTCCGTCCCTGATGCCCCGGGTGTTTAATTACCTGTCCATGATATACGTTATCAACCTTTTTTCTTTTGCTTCCAACCATGGTTTCTTCCTTAAACTTTCGACTTTGAAAAAGTAACACGATCTTAGACATCGCACCCTCTCCTGGCGTCCATCCTCGTTCTCTACCCTACCTTGATTTTTATTCACTGACAGCGAATAAACAATTCAATCGACATATTATTTAAGTGTCACTCATCATATCATCTTTAACAAATAAAGATAAAATAATCACTACTTATAAGAGGCATTATTAGAATTAAACCGTCAAGATTAACATTGATGAGACACTTTATAATTATTTACATATTGTGCACAATAAAGGTAAGTTTATCCAGACAGTTAATGATGTGCTAACGTTTGTACCGAAAATAATCTATGACATCATTATTACAACCCTAACGTCATACCAATATTTGTTAAATACGACCACAATCTTACGACCCTGGTCCTCATTTACGTCCCTGATTTAAACGACATTAACCTTACCTCCCTAAATTTACACCGTGATCTTACCTCCCTGATCTAAGGAACTTCATCTTACGTCCATAATAGTACGTCCCTAATCTTAGGTCCCTGATCTTACGTCCCTGATCTTACGTCCCTAATCTTAGATCCCCGATCTTAGGTCCCTAATCTTACGTCCCTGATCTTGCGTCCATAATCTTACGTCCCCGATCTTACGTCCCTGATCGTACGCCCATAATCTTACATTCCTAATCTTAGGTCCCTGCTTTTAAGTCTCTGATCAAAACAACCCTGACCTTACGACCCTGATCTTGCGTCACTGATATTACGCCACTGATCTACGTGCTTAAGCTTTGGACCCTGACTTTACGACCCTTATCTTTCGTCCCTAATCTTAGGTCACTGATCTTACGACCCTGATCTTACTATCCTAATTTTACGTCATTGATCTCACGTCACTGATCTTATTTCCGTTAGTTAACGACCCTGAACTTGTGATATTATGGTCCTGATATAATGGTCCTGATCTTACGTCCTTGATCTTACGACCATGATCTTACGTCCATGATCTTACGACCCTTATCCTACGTTCCCAACCGTGGAATCAGTTTCCTAATCTGACAGAATTTTTCACCCTATCCCTAATACACTGACTCCATGTTCCATAAAATACCTCAATATTCCGATACACTCTTACCGATCATGTGTTACTTTATATCTCAATAATGTCTTTAAACTGTAAAGGTTCATCTGTAAAAATCCCCGTATAGGTTCACTTGTCCTAATGAAGGCTAATGTGTGCAAGTCACCCTGTAGGTTGAACTGTACAACTCCCCTAGTTGGTTCGCATGTACAAGTCCATGTGTATGTTCATCTGTACAAGTCCCCGTGTATGTTCATCTGTACAAGTCCCCGTGTATGTTCATCTGTACAAGTCCC